CCAGCACACAATTCCATGATGTTGCATACCTGTCACCACACAGGTAGGTCATGTACTAATGCTGCCTACATGTTTAGCAGCCATCATGGTGATGTTTTTTTATTGTTTTCCAATCTGAATGTAAGTTTCCAAATGGCTTGATGACCAATTGACAAGGTCATGAAGTTAGTAACCCAATGTCATCAAGATGCACATGAGTGAGTCCAACCTTAATCTGAATGTGGCTCCAATCTGTATTGTCTAACATCTACAATAGCAGACCTCCCATTCATTTTTTCCTGTGTCCTTGTGGTGGTCCCTCACTTGTCAAAATGCATTGGTTATTTATTGCCCTTTATGGTGCCTGACAACAGGTGCATTTACCTCATTCCTACAATGCTTCCCATTAATACAGCTCTTCCCTCAAGTGAAAACAAAAGTGCACTCATTGAAGTGGTCATCAAGTTGGTCTACACCATTACAAATAAGGCTGGTGTCAAGCCAGGAGTTAGGGCCCTTCCATATATAGTGCAAAGGGGGGGGGGCTTGTGGTAGATTCAGTCCCTACTCCTACAACCAGTGTGAATTGATAACCCCTGCAGCAAACACTGAATTGACTGTCAATGATTCAGCATGCTTCCTGCTCAAGAAGAAAGCCACTTCATAAGTTCAGACTGCTGCCCTGCTCATTGTGAGTAAAATTCTGTGATTCTACAACCTGCATTCATGACTGGATTAGGCATACATGCAAGAAACATCCACATAAAAGGTGCCAGACCAGGTGTACCTCATGCAAAAGTTGGCATTTGGTTTGTGTTGTCCTCCAGCTTCATGGCATTTTGCACCCTGCTCTTCTTCACCTACCTGGTAGACTTGGCTTCCTTCATTCCATCTCTGATGTTATGTTTTTGCAGTGTGTTAGTTTGCTTGTTCTGTGTATATGGTGTAGTACTCATGTGGGGTGCAACCCTTGGTATTGAACTCCCAATAGAGGAAGTAGCAAAGAAACAATGTCTCCTATTTTACATATGTAGACCATATGTAAACATCATGTATACAAACATTGGGTGGTGATGGTGATAATCAGTGTGCATGGTTTTCATTATGAATGTTTGATTCTCATTTCATATTTAGGTTTGACTTGATTATCTTGGTCAAGGTGTGATGCTGGTGATGACTATTGCCTCATGCATTTTCTGTGATGCTCTGCACTGACAATAACAATCTTACCATATAACATCTCCTGTCATAGCCAATTTTCACCACACACATGGTGGAACCTACTCATTGTGCAAAGCATTCCCACAACTGTCTCCATCCCTACATGCATTCCCCTGGTTCATCATTAACATCATTTACCCCATCTGCATCTTTGCACTCCTCCCAGCTGGTCCAATGTGACATGAATATCCGGGGCACTTCTGGTAACTCTGGTGCACAATGAAATTGGAATGCCTGATTTTTGACAAACATACACAGCAGTTCAGTATAGTGCAGTGCCACTTAGCAGACTTCCGGGGACCAATGGATGAGAAATTCTGTGACAATATCAAGTGCATAACTGCAGTTGCCATTTGTTTAGCTTTTGGAACCATGCAGAGGTGCATGAGAAGGGTAGGGTATCCTTGGTCTCAATTACATCTCTGCTTAGTGCTTCCTTGACAGCTTTCCCAAGTTGTCCCCCCACATAATAACAACTCCTGCAATTCAACCCAGGTCTGTTTCTCTACCTTCCTATGTTGTGTTCTGTCTAAGATAATGTACCAGTAGCAGGGGTGAATAGAATCAGTAGGATTGAAGAAATTGTTCATTCCTGGTGCATGGTCCCAATTGGATGTCTGTCATTAGACTAAGGTACAATTGATTATATTAGGGACAAACCAATAAGAAAAATACAGAGAAGCATGGCATTTGCAACCAGGCAACTAACGTCAAACAATGAGAATGCCATCATAATTAATTCATCAGAAACAATAATGCAGGTAACAATAACCTGGCCACCCTTGTAAATGCCCTTGTAAATTCCTCAATTCCTCCCAGTAACTGAGTCAAACCAAATCCCCATGCCTCTTGTCAGGTCACAATGTGCAAGGTCTCAATCTGTTCCTCCACCTGTCCCCCACCCAGTGGAGGCTTTACCCCTGTTAGCCTCACAGGCCAAGATAGTGTATCAGCAGGTCTGGCATGTCATCATGGTAGTAGAGCAAGAAATGAGGCCCATGAGTGTCAGACCTCTTTAAAGAATAGAAAGGAGCTGTGTAGGGTGCAGTCACCCCAGTCCAGTCAGATGCCAACTTAGGATACATCCAAATCACCTCAGTCACAGTTGCCCAATCAGGATACACCCAAATTGCCTTGGCACCAAAGACAGTCAGTTTTGCCAGTGTTGATGTTGGGGATCCTCACTCACCAGCCTCAAGTCTATTGAGCTTACCACTAAAATTTGGAAACCACCCAGTGAGGTAGGCCATCTGGAAAGGGGTGGATACAACCTTGAGGAGCACTTGCAATGGAGTGACAATGAGATGCATAAAGTCAAGGTATGTACATCTTAGATGATGTGCTTCATTAACTAAGATAAGACTTGGCAGTGAGTCATCCACACAGCAGTGAAGAAGTATGTAAATAAGTTTTATCTGTGTGTCTTACAAGAATGTAAATGCCATATAGTACACTTCACACATGTAAACTGAGATAACAATATTGAACATGCCATACAAATTGATGATAAGCCATAGTCCCATACCCCAACATGCTACTCTTATTTGTGACCATATATAGACTTTATTGGCCTTCTGGCTTTATCAACAGTGGCTTTGCTGAAAACATCTCAGAAAAATAACTCCATAAATGGTGAAAATATCCACTTGCAGCAGTATGCACATGGATGTTTTGAGATTCAGTCATTAATACCACTGGACACATTTGTGGGAAATGTGACATTTTGGTGGTAGTTTGGATGTATATGGGACCTTGGAGATTGTCATATAAATTGCCAGATTCCAGCAATGTATTGGGGTTATACAAAGGCAGCATGAATTCCCAACTTCTGATGGCAGGAAAACAGGTCTCGAATTTGAAGGTTGCATAGGACTACACAAGGGGACATGAATGTACATAATAACAAGCAGATTCCAAATTTCACAGAATTCTCCAAAGCAATAGGGGATTTCAAAAAAGACACTGGTAGGCATTGAGATACTGCAAACCAAATCATCATACTGCTTAGCAGGTGGAAACCAAGGGACTTACCATGAACAGTGAAATGCATAAGAGCTGAAATTGTCTTTTTTTCATTTCAGGAATTTCTTTGCTGTAGACAGTATAAATAGTACTTCCATCATTGTGGTAAAGAATATGTCTTACACATCTGGTTTTCCTGTGCTATACCCACAAGCATGGGGCATAAATCATCCACACTTTCACCATGCTGCTGGAAGGCTGCTGCAATGTGTGCAATAACAGCATTTTGGACACCTGATTTCTGATATTTTCTGACAATCTCTGTCAGATGCTGCTGCAAATCCTTTCTGGCATTAGCCCCATCCTTGACCTGCAACTGGAAAAATAAGCATTCAAAGACAATTACACAACCTGTAATTATGAGCTTCAGATTCAAGCAGCATCAAAAGAGACATATACCAATGCCATGTTCTGCAAGTGCCTTCAGGGAAGGCTGACTTGACACAGACAATGTAGGGATGGAGATGGAATAGCTGTCATGTTTGATGGATTGCTATGACCAACCAATTCAACACATCATAGACAGCTGAGGGGGGGAAAGGAATGGGAACATACCACCTGAAAAGACATCAAGAGTAAAACAGGAACCAATGTTAAAGTAGGAAAAAGAGAGTGACAAACCAACTGTAAAACATATGGGCAATGAATGAGTGTGGGATGTGGAACAAACCATACATTCTGGAAATGGGTTAAAATTTGTCAGGATTTTAGAAGAGATATGACAGCTAACATGCTGAGAGAGATGTAAGAGAAGAAATCAACAAAGGGCATACTCCAAGGGAAGATTGTACTGACATCCTAACACAATGTCTCAGCAATATTGTAGAGATTCATGCACTGATCAGGCTCACCATCTATTTGATGAGAAGACCTTGTTAAAAGCATGCTAAATAGGCAATTTCCATGACACTCACTCTCTAAGACCCATAGGCCAAAAGTGAAATAGTGAGGATCATGAATATATATCATCCTCTAGCAGACACTGAGACAACATCACTCACATCCTATGAATGCAAATGCAGTGGGGTAGGAGAGAAAATCACATTCAGCAACCATACAGGGCCACCACATTTCATCTGTCCACTCACATGCTATGCATGCAAGTCAAGCAAAGCAGTGGCAAATGTAGTCAGCATGCATCCACCACCATCCACCATGACTCCACTCACAAGCTATGAACCCCAGTCCAACAGGGTGGGAGTGAACATGTCAGCATGCATCCACCACCACCTGTCATGACTCCACTCACTTCCTATGAACCCCAGTCCAACAGGGTGGGAGTGAACATGTCAGCATGCATCCACCACCATCTGTCATACTCCACTCACAAACTATGAACCCCAGTCCAACAGGGTGGGAGTGAACATGTCAGCATGCATCCACCACCATCTGTCATGACTCCACTCACTGCCTATGAACCCCAGTCCAACAGGGTGGGAGTGAACATGTCAGCATGCATCCACCACCATCTGTCATACTCCACTCACAAACTATGAACCCCAGTCCAACAGGGTGGGAGTGAACATGTCAGCATGCATCCACCACCATCTGTCATGACTCCACTCACTCTCTATGAACCCCAGTCCAACAGGGTGGGAGTGAACATGTCAGCATGCATCCACCACCATCTGTCATGACTCCACTCACTCTCTATGAACCCCAGTCCAACAGGGTGGGAGTGAACATGTCAGCATGCACCCACCACCATCTTCAATGAGTCAACTTACATTCTGCCAATCACAGTCAAACACAATGGTAACCATCATCTTCAGCATCAGTTATACTGGTACTTGCAGAATTTCACACACCTCCTATAACCTAATTAGCCTCTCATTCACCCAAAACACTGGTTGCTTACAAATGGGAACCATGATCCAAGGGCATATGGTAACTCCCCCAAGTCAAAATGATCAGCCCCCTCATTCATGCTTCTCTTCAGTGTCCTTTCTGTAGTTAGCACCCTGTAGAACTTGATTTTTACCACTCACTTCATTATGGCAAATTCCATGCAGAGCCCCAAGTTTGATTGCTGTGATGATATAAGCAGTCCTTGCAGCCCTTCCTCAGTCAAAGCATTTGCTGTGCATTTCAATAGCTCTTCACAATCTGCACTCTCCTGTTCCATACCTGGAGAGACACATGCCAATCCTGTTTTTCTAATCATGACCTACTTACCAGTGAGTATCAGGAAGCTTTGAGGTGGAAACTTCAGTTCATTCAGCCACCCCTTGATCTTTTCAAGGCAGCCCTGTTGCAGCTGTTTTTCTACCCCTGGTGCCTCTTTCATTGCATCATCTACAGTTAACCCCCTTCTCATAAGCTGCTGCACTGCATCAAGATTTAAGGTGTCTGCCTTTGTTAGTAGCACAATCACAGGAACTGCACAAATCCTCAATCTTTGTATGAAGTGTGATGTGATATTTGTGTACACATACCATGTCCTGAATCACACTCATTAAAGAACTTCCTTTCAGCAGCCATGACCATCCTATGGCTTTCATTCAAAGGAATGCAATACCTAAATCAATCACAAAGACCAGATCAGTAGACTCTCAGTGGCACTTGTCAAACATGTCCCTACCAAATTGCATGCAGTCTGTTTTCCAGTTTGGTGGACTTTGCTTGATCTGTAACAAACTTCTTCATCTTATCAAACTCTGCCTCGCTCCCCGCCTCAAATCCACATGAATCATGGAACACATAGCGCGGGTTACTTTTAAACACTAGCTCATCTTCAATGTTATGGTAGCCACGCTGCATAAGTTCGAAAGTGAGCACCATGTAATTTCACATGGTGGCCTTACCCCCAATGAACCCTGCACCGCCCTAGTATCAACCTAGCGGAATGACATGTTGACAGATACAAAACACATAACACACCCACATACCTTCTCTCCAGTTCCATCAAAGATCTCAGGCTGATCCGTAGTGTTACAGACCCGCTGTAAAACAGTTGTTTTACCCGCATTTGCTCTGCCCATGACGAGAATGCGAAAACGAGGGATGCGATCAATCTGCCTTTTGGCCTCAGTAGGATCTAAGCGATAGTTTAAAGCTTGTGTAGGGTTGACTGAATGTGGGGCAACATGAAGGAGTGGCCTCAGTGGGAATGGCAACTAGTAACACACCAGCATTGTCACTCGGACGTTGAGAACGCCGCAGCGAACGCCACCAGGAACGAACAGAACTCGGCGCCATCGCGATGTGAAGATGAGAAAACAGGTGTTAGGATGTCCTGAGCGGTAAGCGTGCTACGACTGTTGTGGACGATGGTGAAGTACGAAGGGCAAGGTACTGCGGATTCGAGTGGCGTTGAACGCTCAACGTGCCTATCTCTAGTGCACAGCCTGACACATGTGTAAACTACGACCACCAAGTTCCTGTTGGGCCGTCCCATTTCTTCTCGTCGTCTGACCGAGTCCCGGTGATCCATTGGCGCAGGAAAGACTCGACCATCAATCCTGCCTTGTTATCTTCGATTGCTCATAGCAACGCCATGGGAGCTCGCCCCATACTCTCCGCGGTACTAAGCCAGCTCGGTAGGTGCAATAGTTATGCTGCTGGTGAAATGTACTACCGATCTTCTCAGCGGCTTTGTGTTTCCATGCTCGCCCCGTCCTCCACACCAGACACTGTAGCACAGTTGGGTTTCCCCAGCTCCTCCCTCCAGGATTTGGTGTCCAAAAACCTTCTTCCACAATACTCGGTCGTGCAGTTGGGAAATCCACAAGTAGCATGTCTCTTGCTAACCCACCCGAGTATTAGCACGAGGAGTATAAACAATCATTGACCTGACCAAGACGCCCGCACAATGACGGGGTCAAGATCTAAACTACGCACCGACTTGCTACGACTACAACCGTTGGTGGTGTCGACAATGACCATCGTTGAGCATTCCAACTCTATTGTCACCCTCTCACAATACAGGACCCAAGCTCCGTTTCCAAAATGCATCACCAGTGAGTGCTGCGTTCTGGCTACCGCCTGATCCCCCCGCCTTACCTCCACCCAGTTGAGATCCTATCCTTCACGCTGTGGGTGACTCCAACTGATAGCCATGGAAGTGGCGGACCCTCCGGTATAAAATTTGCATGATAATCTAATGGGACCACTATCAATCCCCATGCCATAGTCATTCATATGCCACTACGCAGTTTTCCAGCTAAACATCAATAGAATAACTTTTAGAGCACCTGCCTCGGTGCTCCTTCCATTGGTGGACGGTTTTGTTACTCTCTGGGAGGCGAAGACAGTCCTAAGGCCACAGATACATATCACATTACCCCTTCCCCACATACTCTATTCCCTCCAGAGCGACTTCATGGGAGTCTTACCGTCGGAATCAAGTGCAGGGGCCATCAGAGCATATCGATTGTACTCACTGAGCATTTCACATAATGAGAATTGCCCAGGCTCGAGTTCTCGTCGTATCTTTGGTGTCAGGATACACAACGAGTCGTTCATAGAGTCGATGTATGCCAAGAAGACATGTCCTACATGCTTTGCGAAAGACTTTGCCAGAGACTCAGCTTTTTGTGTTTCGGCGGCAATCGCGGTGTGCTGTGTCGTATGCACATGCGGGACAGTTTTGATAGTGAGTGGGTGAGAGCTGGACTAAGAGCACGGCTTTCGGCAATGCCGAGCGGCTGAGACGGTGAAATCCAAGACGGAAGTGTTGCTGCGACGAGTTTACTCAGCTTAGCTCCTGGTTGGAGACGCACGCGCCTGGTTATCAGCAGCAGCCAATGTAAGACGAATGCTAGATGCGGGAGCGTACGTATAACTATGTCACGTCCCAGACGAATGAGAGAGCCTGCTATGGAAACGATACAGCGAAAATCGCAAACGAGGAGACATCGTCGTGGTGGGTGGTTCCCGATACCATTTTACAGAGCAAAGACCAGATACTCCCGAGGTCAACTGAACGCACAGCAGCGACCTGCCATTGGATATAAGAATGACATTGACTAAAGCGTTTTAAGTGATGATACTCACTCTGTCAGAACAATGCTTCGCGATCAGCTGCAGATAATGGTAATGTTCTTTCAATTCTGGTGAACCTCCGTATAGGTGAGGTTGATCGGTGAAGGCATCGAGGCAGCACGTTACGAATGCTTGGTCCACTTTGAGAGTTCCTGTGGTGACGTGCTACCGAACCCTGTTACTTATAATCAGAATAGGAGCTTGATACAGACCTTGAGGCCGGGAGCCAGGGCTCCTCGATTCCTTCTCCCATCACACCGAGGAGGTGCATCAGGAAATTAACACTTAGTTCGAGAAATTCGCAGTGGCGGTGAGGCCCACCTGCCCCATCCGACGGGCGTGGGAACTTGCCCCGAACGGTCGGTCAGGCTTGCACAGAGCCCCGGTGATGTCATGCTGTCACCCCCCTCGGCACGCTGGCCGCGTCGGCACGTCCTCCGCGACGGTCCGACCCATTTGGCAATTTCGTAATTGCCGTACGAGGCAACCGTCGTCGTCATCTGCTTTCGATCGCAATCAATGGTATATATTGGAGGGAAGGGCCACCGGCCCATGCAATTTATGTTAGTAAATGGCAATTGCCATCTCTTGATTGATGAACTTTCGAGCTTTGTGTAGAGAACATGTATTATGGAGAATGTGTAGGTAGAGTATCTACCACTACACCACAGTATGTTGAGTAAGAAGTGTAAGAGACAATGCAACAGTGAATGATATTTTTTATATTAAAAAAAAAGGATAGCTCATTGCTGCTCTGCCTGGTAGTGGTGCTCCCCATCCCCACAATGCCATTTGCAAGCAGCTATGATGGCATTGAGGAGCCTCGGCAGTGCTTCTGTAAGCTCAGAGGAACACATCCTCATTCCCTTGGAACCTGGAGAGCCAGATACAACTGTCAGAGACACTGGAGTAGGACAGATTAAAGTAGTACATACTCATTCAGAAATTCAGTGGCCATGACCTTGCACTGGTAGTGCTTAGTGTTGAGGCACTGGCACTTACCATTGTAGTAGTGATGGGGGCAGTCCTTGAGCAGAGTGTGCAGGTTGAGCCATGGCTTGCCCTTTGTCCAGTGGCACACAATGTCCTTCCAGGAGTCTGACCTTGGAGTGTGTGTCCTGTCTGCCTGTAAGACAGGAACATCCAGGATGAGCAGTCCCAGGGGAGTGGCAGAGGAACTCAAGTGGCTGTTGGTCCTCTCAGGTCCAATGTGTGAAGTGAGGGACTTGCACCATTGGCATAGACATCCAGGGGTAGTTGGATGAGGTGCAGCAATATGAGCAGCAATGGTTGTGAATCATGTGGCTGGGTGGCCAGAATGGACTGAACTGTTGGAGGTGGCAAGATTGTGCTCCAATACTGTGTGGATGAGCATTGATGGTGTTGACATTGGTGGGCTGTTGCAGATTTTAGTTTGGCCTTCATGTGGTGATGGTGAGGAATGGAATGGATTCACCATCTGTCACAGCATTGCCAGTGCCCTGACATGGCACCATTGGTGCAGAATATGAGTACACACCAGGGGCAGCAGATGTCAAGGCCAGTGCTGTGACTATGTTGCTCATGTTGCCCAGTTTTTGGTGAATCTCCCTTACATCTGCTGACATTGCCATGTGTGAATGAGACATTTTTTTCACCATTGAGTGCAGTGCCATGATGTCTGCTGTTAGTGCTGCATGGGCCATGTGGAGTGCTTCTGTAGATGCTGGCCAGATGAGTGCAGCTTCACCAGCAAGCGAGTCCTCAGCTTCCCATGAGATCAGGCCCAGGGCATCACTGTGGTCAGTTTCATAGCAATGAAGTTCATCAAGCAGGTAACACATCAGCATATCATGCTGTGTGTGTGGTGTCAAGGACAAAGCAAGAAGTGCTGGTTCACTCCAACACACCCAGATAGGAAAGAACACAAGACTCACATGTTCACCTTCAGCCCACCCCCCCCACCATTGGACATGCATGAGGGTCCATCGCTGCCCCACTGGGGCATACATGAACCTGTACTGCACTCCTCCCTGATGGTAGCAATGTGTGGAGAATGTTCCAGGAATCCCAGCACCTGCCACTCCCTCATCAATCCACTTCTGAACCATATCATGGGAGAGTGGTTCACCTGGCTGCAGCACCCCATTTGCACTGATGGCAGGAAAGAGGAAGTCATTGTCAGCCATTGGTCAACCAAGATGGACAATCTTGGTCCATCTCATCCAGAAAACCAGGTGCATGAAGACATCACATGCTTTGCCCATATCTGGGCATGGATAAACCTTGTAGTGATTACCTATGGATACATGCCATCAAAAATGGACATCAGATGTGAGGTAGTGCCACATCATGAAGATGGGATTGAGCATACTTCATAAGTCAATTTTCCTCATCCCTTTGTCCAACTTTCTCTGCCACCCCTTTCAATTCCTCAGGTGCACCTCAAAGTACACACCAAGGTTGTTGATGGTGAGTGATCCTTCCTCACCTTGAAGGTACTTCAGGAACACATTATCTACAGTGGTCCTGTCAAGTTTTATGTCCCCACACTTCAGCCTGACCAGTTCATAGTTCCTAGTTGTAAATTGTCATCATCGACTTTGGAGGTAAAGCCACATGCTAGTTACCTGGTCCACAGCATGAATGCGACAGCAGCACAGGCCAGCTGTTCAATGTGCCATGTGGTGGTCAGTTTTGTCTTCACATCTGTTGCCCACTTGACTAACAGTGGCACTGAGGGTTCCGAGTGTGTCATCACTGAATGGATGTACTGCAATGGGGAGTCAAGGGGACAGCAAGAATTGGACCAGGTGAGGATCATGTCCAGGTACTCCTTCTTCATGGCACCAGAGTGTGTGTGCTCAGATCCTTGAGAATTGACCTTATGCTGGATAGATGCTACAACATCATCCACTTCTGCCAAGCACACCGGATTCCCCTCCCACCACTGGCATTCACTATTGTAATGCCAGGCCTCACAGAATGTCCCACCATCACTGTCAGGAGCATCTGTTTTAGTCACTGGCAAAGGTAGAGTCATGCGAGACATATGCCTCATCCCACATCAATTTAAATGCTGCTTGAATGCCGTCGATTGTACTCTGACTGCAGTTCTCCTGGAAACCCTTCCATGAAAGGTAAAGGGCCAGGGCCTTGTCTGAGCACTGATTTGGCATGCACTTGAACGTGTTCTTAAAGTCTGGATCACCATACACTTCCGAGCTCAGGTCCCCACTGCCAACATGACTTGGACTTGGAGACAGTTGCATCCCCTCCACTTGAAAGTGGCTCTGTAGCCATGACTGTGCCTGGCAGACATGCCTGGCATACATTGCCCTTGTCTTGGCTGCTCAAAGGTGAGTTTGTTTGCCAGCCTCTTTGATCCAATGAATGGTGTGTAGGCTGGGCTGTTCTTTTGGAGAAGATGCCTTTGCCCTCCTCTTTCTTTTGTCAGGGGAGCTAGGTAAGGCAATGCTCTTTGTCATTGACACCTTCTGTCTGACCTTGGCATGTACAGGATGTTCATTCCCTCCACAAGTGGCCTGAATGCAACCAGCTGGTGTGTGGGAGTTGCAAATGAAGTCAGTTCATAGTGTAGCTGCACTGTCAACTAGCTACTATTTTTTTCAGAATCAATTTGGTGACATCATATTCAGTGCGAAGCCCTCAACAACCAATGTGCACAGGAGTGCGACAACAAAACTGGAACAGTAATTAATATAATGCTAGTAATACATCATACACATAGTTATGAATACCCCTTGCCCCATCAAGTCAGTGATGCCCAGCAGCTTCCATCGAAATCCCCACTGTTTCTCCTCCAATGAGTGATGCCAGGGTGCCAATGTCAGTGTGGTTGATACCATGAGGAGTGATTTCCATGGGTGTTCTACAATGGGTCATGAGGTTGCAGAACAATGACAAGTGGCAGTAGTTCATGTATGAACCACCAAATTTGATGACTCCTTGCACTTTCTTCATGATTGCTGCATGTGCAACTGCAATCCCAAGCATGTTGGAAGCTTCAATGCACTGGCTGTTCAAGTATGTGTGAGTAAAGTCAACATCTGGAAGGCAGATCACTGCCTTCAAGTTGACACTGTCAGTCTCCAAAACCTGCTCCTCTCATCTTGATGCTCCCCTCATCATACTCCAACAAAAATATGAGGTAGGGACACTGCACAGGCTGACCAAGTTCAATGTTGTGTTCTTGAATTGGCAGAGGAAGATGTCTTCTTTGACTGTACCCTGCCCATTTCTCCAAGTTATCTTTGCTCTGGACAACAAAGAGGTCCATCTTGAAGCTCCCAGCAATGTGGCCAGTGACCACAGCAAGACTCCAATCAATCTTTCTGGCATGGTTGAGTGCCAGCCAAAGGTGCCATGGTGACTGAAGGTGGAGCTTTGACTCGATTTCCTTGTCTGGAATGGTGAAGAAAGATTTGATGAACATGGAGTCTTCTTCAATAATGGTGGACATAGGGTCATGGTCATACCAAATCCACTGAAAGTGAAAGCATTTTGATATTCATAGTGATGTTGATGATTTCTTTCAGATGGGGGATACCAAGCTTAGCATTTCTGTTGTATACACCAGCATGGTGGAAGGCATTAAGAGTCACTTTGAGTAACTGGTTCAATGATAGCAAAGAAAGATTCAATGAACATGGAGTCTTCTTGTCCTGGGCCATGTAGGATTCCAAGTATACACATCAGTAAACCACTTTGTGTGCTGGCAGTCCTAGGGAATCTGTCCAGTGCTGGACAGCTCTGGACAGCTCTGGCCAGCAAAAGTGATTTACTGATGCAGAAGGCGAAAGTGTTTTGATATTGGTAGCAATGTTGATGATTTCTTTCAGACAGGGGACACTGAGCGTAGCATTTTTGCTGGACACACTGGCATAGTGGAAGGTGTTGAGAGTCATTTGAGTAGCTGGTTCACCAATGGACTGGGCAGCAACAGTACTGCACATCCCTCCAGGGTTAACCAGAGTATGGTTGAACTTCACCTCAATCTTGTCCAACACCCACTCAAATGCTTCATGGTTGAGGTGGAACTCTTCCAATATGTGGCAGGTAGCATGTGTGGCTCGTACATGCATGTGGAAGGTCAGTAAAGCATTTGCCTGCACTTCCCTGCTAACTTCTCCATGAAGCTGGTGGACTGCATCAACAGTGTAGGCTGGTTCAAGGTCACTAGGCTTGCAGTGGTCGATGTGGAAGATGTGAACAAGCCACTGTCATTGTCCATGAGATTAACACAAAATGAATGCAAAGAACCAAAAGGTGTTTACCAAACAGCAGGTGATGCAAACATGAACATCTCCATCTTCAACAATAGGGGGGGTGCACATGTGCTCCATCAAGAAGTACCCTGACAAAGACAATGCAGACATGATTTTTGCTGACAGAGGTGCATATGTGCTTCATCAAGGAGTACTCCAGTGAAGACAATGTGGATACGATTTTGGCTGACAGAGGTCTATATGTGCTCCATTGAGGAGTACCCTGGCAAAGACAATGTGGATACAATTTTGGCTGACAGATATTTGACACCAACAGGCATGGGTGGGGGGGTGCAGAGAAAGCCAGGGAGGGGGATATGATGTGACAAGATGTCATTGGGTATAGTTTGCCTCCACTGTCTTGATGGTGGTATCAACAAGACCTTCTTGACCAGCTGTGGCATGGAAAAAGTACCCCCCTGTGGGGGTCAGACTGCATATGTCCCCTTGCCTCCGGGCTGAAGTCATCCTTTCCAGTGAACCAGAGAGTAGGGAGATGATGGGGTGCCCCTTTGGGCAAAAGTATGTATGGCAGGTCGATCCATATGAGGCACAGAAAGTTGGTCAGGTACAGAAGGCAAATGAGGTAAGGACAGTTACCTAGGAGATCTCAGCGAAGCATGACTGGGTTCATAGTGACCAAGGTAAGTCAAGTCAACACCTGGAACACAGATCACTGCCTTTAAATTGACACTGTCAGTCCCAAAACCCACTCCATTTTCATCTTGATGCTCCCCTCATCATCCAGGATGGTGAAGAAGGATTCGACAAATGCAAAATCTTCGCTCCAACTCCCTGTCACTGAGCCTGAATGTGTTGATCCTCTGGTGCACTGATAAATGCATCATGCATCCCATCTTCTCTGTACATAAGCTGGATGAGGTCACCCAATGAATTGTGCACTGTACCATCATAGCAGACATCGCCTGTCTCCACCATTTTGACAGCAAGCTTGATAAGACCTTCTTGACCAGCCATGGCATGGAAGAAGGGTTCCTGCCAAATGGTATATGCTTTCCTCCTACACTCTGCTGCCCTACACAGATGGACACTGGCAAAACATTGATATTAACCTTTGGATCCTGCAGTGACCATTCACAAGCAAGGTTAAGTTGACACTCAACCATACCTTCAAAATTTTATCTCACCAACTGAACCTAGTGCATATTTTGATCTGTGACCATTGCAGAATTGGCAGTCATAGGGAATGAGGTAGGCATGTCATGGGCAGTCTCCAGATATAGTATGCAGGAAGGGTGAATAAATGAGATGGAGGATACCAGAGTGGGGAGACAGCGGGACACATGCAAACTGGGAAGACAGATTACTTGCATTCAAGGGTTTCCAGGGTTTCCAGCAAACATGAGAATTGGAGGATGATGGGGCAATAAACTGACATTATCATTAGAAACAGTGCACTTGCTGAAAACAATGCCCACCTGAATGCTAATCTCTGGTCCATCAGATCCCTCCCAAAATTTGTAGTACCCAGCCTTGGGAATGAACTATGATTTCTTTTTCTTTTTTCCTTTCAGATGCATGACACCAATGAATACACCTCTCTTTGGGTAAAAGTCAGTATGTATAACGAGTTGAACCTACAGAATTACCTAGGAGATTGCAGGCAGTCAGCAAGTTGGATCTGGAGGACAGAATCTGATATGTCACATTCACTTGGGTGGGCAGACTGGCAGTAGCATGGAGCAAAGCACAACAGGCAGGGAAGTAAGCGAGGTAGACTCACACAGACATGGTGATTGTGCCACTCACAAACTGATACAACACTATAGAAATGTGTGCTAGGCAAATGACTAGTCGTCATCCATGAGACCAATGACTCCAGCTTTGAGATGTGGTGCATCTGCACCACCTACCAGGTCAATAACTCCAGTTTCATGAGGAAGGCTAACTGTTGACTCCACCAGATTGGGTCTTGAGTATTCTAACATGACTGCTGGCATCTCTATCTCATATGCAGGCAATGGATCTGTGTCCACTGGTGTTTCAAGTGGCAAACTTGGCACAGAGAGCTTGTATGACTTGTCAGAATGGCTCAGGACCCAAAGGTTGTGTTGCAGCCACTCACTATCAACATTCCCTGGCAGCTGTGGATGGTGGATGATGAGGTGGGGTGGGTGTATTCAGTGCAATTGCAAGACTCACCTGCAGAAGTGCATGCATGGCTGTGCTGGCATGAGCACCCATCAATCTGGACCAGATGGTATCTGGTGACCAGCCAAGGTGCTGTGAACAGAACTCTGCCAGTGATGCAAGATCAGGCTGACAAGACCTCACAATGGCAATGGGGGGATGGCAACCCTCTGACCATGAGGTAAGAGGTAACAGATACATTGCTAAGATTGCAGGGTCAGGGAACTCAATGCATTCCTCCACAATGATACAGGCAAGCTCATGGTGCCTATGTCCAAGGAGGTGTTGAGGATCCATTTGTAGTACCTCACAGATGTTGTCACACCACCTGGCAACAAACTCCATAAACTCCATGAACTGAAACATGATAGCAGCTTGGAAGAGGGTCTTTCCAAAGCCATAATTTACCAATCAATGGGCAATGTCTGTGCTGCACCACTGGCAACCTGTCTAATGAATTGAATGAGGATGCTGCCCAATTCAGGGGGCTGAATATGGCACTTACCTCACTATCTACACTACTCATCAGCATAACAAGGAGGAGGTCACCCCACTTGAGGCCAGTGCAATTTTGTAAGGTGTCAGATGAATAGAGTTGCATGCCTTCATACTTGCCAGATGGTGGGATGCCACTATTTGTGGTAAGCTAAATGACCACATGTCCATGTTTGAACTGACCTACCTGTGAATGATGCAAGTCACACCAAACAGCAGCACATTGTTGTACAGTGTCACCATGACATCAACAAGGGTGCATGACTGGAGGCAGGCAAGTTCTGTCTCTGCCTCCCCTGGAGGCTTGTGAGCTTTGTTAGCACCTGGTGGCATGCACAGTCGATGACTCACTGTGTGCCAGCTGAAACCAAATGCCATCAACAGCTCTTGAAAGCACTGCACAAGGAGGGGTGGATAGCATGGGTGCACAATGTCTTTTCCCCTCTTGAGCTGAGGGCAGTCCAGCCCATCAAAAACAAAGTATGGGTGGAGGGGCATCTGAGAGATGGAAGAAAGGTGATGGAAAATCGTTTGTATTTCATGTGACTGTCCTGTGCCAGCTTGGTGCCATGAAAACATGTTAAGCAATGAATACATCCATGCACTACTGGGGCTTGTGAGGGATGAAATGGACCATACAAAGCAGGTGACTAACCTGGCATTAAAGCCCACAGTGAGCAACTGGGCACCTGCTCCACCACCACACATGCCAAGGTTCTCAGTAGCAAGCTCACCAAGTGTGCATTGTCTCACTGCAGGAGCAAGAAGCTAATTACAGTTAATGTAGCCATGTGAACGAACAGCATTCAAGTGCCCACATGGTTTTGGAACATGGTGGAAGACTCATTGGGAGGTCAAGGAGTGTGATGATGTAGAAAGCCAGTTGATGTAGGGCAGCGCCCAGCTGACAAATAGGTCAGCATAGTTTACTTGCCAGTTTAGCATCATGATGGATGGCATCACAAGAATAGATATACTTGATGCATGAGATCTATGTTTCAAAACTTATGAGTGGAAGAGGAAGGGAAGGAGTTGACAATGCAGCTCACCAACTGATTGGTAAGTGCAAGGACAGTCTTCAGGCCAAGTTGAACCTCCTGGTCTTGAAAGTCTTGAAGGGGACCAATGATCAGCTCAAGAATGGCTGCATAGACATTATGTCCAGTGCCAAACTGCCCAGTGAAGGGAACAGCCAACAGGCTGCTCACCAGACCCATCCAATGGGACTGAATTGACCTTTGAGTGATAGTGATCTGTCAACTGGGCAAAACATTGGGATAGGCTCGCTGACAAGTACTCACCAATGGCAGTGATCAAAGAGCATTGAGTGTTGAAGATGGAGGGCAAATGCAGGTAAGGGCTCCTGCTGCCATGCACTCCACTAACCTGCCCTAAGTGATTATGTCAGTGCCCTGGACCCAATAGGCCTCGAGGCTGCAGACTGGTTTGAGCTGCAAAGTGCTGGAAAGCAATTGTAAAGTCCTGTAAAGTGACTTTGCAGTGGGAAATGAGTATGCACCTTTGCATCCAGGCTGGCCCCATTTGCATTTTTGAACCAGTGAAATTAGCAAACCAGTTGACAGGACATGTTGAAGCTCATGAAGGCCTGGATCCCATGTACTCATGATGGCCCACTAGGAATTATGGTATTACAGTGGCAGGGTCCCAGGTGAGGTGTTTTGTAAGTATGCATTTAGGCAATTTGCACTGCCATGCAGGTACATGCAGAACTGATGAACACATATTGTATATACACTGTGTGTGAAGTAGTGGTCTACTTTCCTGCTATTTCTTCCAGCCAGATGGCCCCATCTGTACTGTAGCAAGTTGATGGTCACCATAAAAACAGACTTAGAGTTGTAGGGTCTGGGCAACAGGCACAAGGTCAATCAGCTCTTCAGAGAGAGCAAGACAAGTGGGAGGAACAAGAGGATGATGGTGACAATGCAGGAGGGGAGGATGACACAGAAGAAACTGGAGGGGAGGTAGCAGTCAAAGGTCTTCTAGACCCAGGAGGGGGAGGGGCAACCAACATTGGATACTGGCAGACATTGTAAATAAGATCAGCTCCCCCTAAGACATCAAAAAGTTGAAGGAGTAGGGGGACCTGCTCATAGGCAATTTCATTGAGGATAGTGCAAGCAGGGGACAGGAGAGGGTTCTGTCAGTTTACATATCTAGACAGATCTTCAAGCTGAAGGGCTTGGATGGTAGCATGGTATACAAGGTCAAGGGGAGAGTTCTCATCAACCACATGGTAGACAGTGCCAACAATGGTGGGATCAGTGATGAAGAGTCAGTAGGAGGCAATCATCTGATCACTGGCAGGTTGTCATTGCTGATAGGTGAATGGAGTGTGATGGCAGGAGGGTTCACAAGGGTAAGTGTAATGATGGGGAGGCATTTTGACAGAGAGTCTTCTGACAGTACAAGTAGTTTGTCAAGTGGGTTGTTTTTGAGAAGGAAAGTCTCTGGGGAATCATTTTTTATATGTGGAGAGCATATCATCCATATGTTCAAGGTGTGTTTCTTTCTGCCATGAGTTTTTGGAAGAAGGGAAACCCTTCCATTTGATTAAGAAGGCATGTCCATGGCTGGACCTTTTATGGCTGACTATCACCTCTACTTCATATTCTTCTTCTTCATTTATCAAATCAGGGGGTGGAGCCAGGAAGTTCAGTCTGTGGATATCATTTTTGCGACAGGGTGATAGGAGGGAAGCATGGAAGATGTTATGTATCTTCCATTGTGTGGGAATTGTGAGGTGATAGGTGATCAGAGATAGGACTTCAGAAATGACAAAGGGTCCTTCTTGTTTGGGAGCAACTTTTCTATTTTCATGGGAACATTTTAAGTTCCAGGCTTCGAGCCAGACCTTATCTCCTTTCTGGAACAGGGAGAAAGGTCATGACAAGCAGTTTTTCATTACATTTCTAGCTAGATCATGTGCTGCTAGGGCTTCTTCTCTAGCTTTTCAGAGTTTGTCAAGTCTGGACTTGGTGGCTGGAAGGTGGGTTTCTGCAATAAGCGATGGAAGGGGTTTCAGTTCATACACATACATGAGGTAGAATGGGGATTGATGTGTGACAGAATGAGGATGGTGATTATGCATGAATTTTGCCATGGGGAGGTTATCCACTCAAGAAGCAGGATCATTCTGGCAGAAGATTTGGAGATATGTTTCTACCTCTTGGTTAACATGTTCTGTTTCTCCATCTGTCTGAGGATGATATGCCATAGACAGGGCAAGGGAGTATCCAAGGAGGGAAGCAAGTTCTTTTGTGAAGGTGGAGGCAAACTGAGGTCCTCTATCAGATATAATTTTGTCATACAGCCCAAAATGGGAGTAGACCTTCTTAAAAAACAAGGTCACAATATCAGCAGTGGAGGCAGTTTTCTTAGTAGGTGTCAAAACTACCCCCTTTGTAAGCCCATGGTCTACCATGACCAAGAGAGAGTCATAACCTTTGGAAGGGGGAAGGTCAGTGACCAGATCACAAGAGATCTGTTGGAAAGGGCAAGTTGAAGTTGAGGGTATGGGTGTAAGGGGTGGAGTTGTTGGGTGGGTGTTAACCTTGTTCTGCTGGCAAGTAGCACAGCCCTCAACATATTTTTGGACAAAGGAGGCAAGTCCAGGCCACCTGAACTTGGACAAGATGAGCTGTTGAGTTTTCAGGACACCAGAGTGTCCAGTGGAGGGGTGGTCATGGTGACTGGACACCACAGTTCAGCAGAGGGAAGGGTCATCTGGGATGTAAACCTGGTTCTTGTAAAGTAATACTCCACTATCAAATTGCCAATCAGAGAGATGGGACTTGAATGGGAGTGGCATGTTGATATCTTCAATGGCATGAAGTGCCATTTGGATCACAGGGTCTTTCATAGAGGAGGATGTGACCTTTTGAGTTAAGTTTGTATCAATGAGATTGACAAACAGTGTCTGTGGAAGGAGGGTAACTCCTTTGTTGTCTTCATCATCATCAGGAACATGGTCAGGTCAGCATGATAATGCATCAGGGGTGGCCAGGTCTTTTCCTGGGATGTTTTCGAGTTGTAGATCAAAATCTGTGAGATCAAGTAGCCAGCAGGCCTGGCAATGATTCAGGGTTTTGGGGTGCTTTGAAGTAGGTCAAGTTCTTATGGTCTGTGAACACCTTGACTGGAAAAGGAGACCCATGGAAATAGTGTCTCCAAGCTTTTAATCCTTGAATAACCCCAAGCAGTTCTCTGTCATAGATATCATAATTTCTTTCAGTGGGGTTAAATGACTGGGAAAGGAAGGCACAGGGTTGCCACTGGCCATTTGAATCTTCCTGGAGGAGAACCCCTCCAGTTGCATACTTGGACACATCAGTGGTGATTGCGAATGGCCAAGAAGTGTCAGGCATTCAGAGAGTCAGTTGTGCCATGAATATTTTCTTTAGCCTGTCGAAGGTGGTTTGGCATTTCTTTGACCATTCCCAAGTGACCATTTTCTTTGTGAGGTCAATTAGAGGTCAGGCAATGTCCAAGTAGTACAGGACAAATCTTCTGTAGAAGTTCATGAATCCTAAAAAGGACCGTACATCCTTGACCTTCTTTGGGATGGGCCATTCAGTGATGCCTTGAACCTTGATGGGGTCCATGGTGATGGTATTTTCCTTGACAATCATCCCAAGGTATTCAACCTCAGTCAGATCAAAATGACACTTTTCTAACTTGAGAGGAAGTGACAGTTCCTTCATTCATTCAAGAACTCAACAAGTTCTGCATTTATGTTCTTCAGGGTCAGTAGAGAAGATAAGAAGGTCATCCATATAGATGATCAACCATCCTTCAGTGATCATGTCTCAGAACAAGTCATTCATAAAATACTGAAAGGTGGTGGGAGAGTTACACAGCCCAAAGAACATGACAGTTGGTTTGAAAAGCCCTTTGTGCATGATGAATGTGGCTTTCCATTGGTCTCCCTCTTTGATGCGGACATTGTTATAGCCTGACTGAACATCCATCTTTGTAAAGATAGATGCTCCCTTGAGTTTGTCAATGAGATCTGAAATGAGGGGAAGAGGATATGCACCCTTCACAGTGTTTTTATTCAGATATTGGTAGTCTTGGCATGGACAAAGGGAGCCATCTTTCTTTCCTACAAAGAAGAAGGGTGTGGCTTGAGGGGACTTCAAGGGACAGATTTTTCCTTCATGAAGGTTTTCTTCAACAAACTTCTCAGCAGACTCTCTTTTGGAAGGAGAGAGTGGGTATGCTTTAGCCACCTTGGGGATGAAGTCCTCAACAAGGTTGATAGCATGATCATATAGGTTGTGATGGAGGAAGGACTCCATCAGAAGGTTTTTCACAAACCAAGGCAAAGTCTTGGTAGTCTTCTGGAAGGACAGCCTTCAGGTTTCTTCTTGTGTTCCTCTTGGGCCAACTCAGTGGCCATGGTGATCTTTCGAAGAAGACTATTGTTCAGATTAATCTTTTTTGCTTCTTCTACAAGTTTTCCAACCAACATCATGAAATGTGCATGGATGGTTTTGTCTTTGGGTTCTTCATAGTCCATCAACTTGTTTATCCCTTTCTTCTCAGTTGGGGACACAAGATTTACAGTAGATTCTTCAACCACAACAGAGGACATGTTGTGTCTCAGTTCTTTAGACCTATCAGTCTTTTCATTGATAGAGAGTGTTCCCATTCTCCAGTCAATGATGGGGTTATTTTCTTGGAGCCAAGGGAGGCCCAGGATAACATTTTCCATTCCACAATTGATGATGTGGAAGAAGGCTTGATGGATGACCCCCTCAACCTTAAAGTAGAGGGTGGTGGAAAACAGGATCTTTCCTTTGGAGTTTTGGGTTCCATCCATGTTTTTAGTGAGGATGGGTTTGGCAAGTCATTGAGTAGGGATTCGATGTCTCCACACAAATCCCTAATTCGATGCAAGAGATTTCTGCACCAGAATTGACCAGTGCAGTGGTTTTGACAACTTTTTCAGTTCTGTCTGATGCATAGAGGGAAATTGGAATTTGCATAGTACAATCTGGAGTGGAAGATACCAGTACAGGTGCAACAGAAATAGAACTGTCCTTAGTTTCAGGAACATCTGGTGTCAATGCAGAGTTCCCTTTTAAAAATCCGTTCTGAGTGCTCTTGCAAAATTTACAAGAGTGACAGATGGGCCAGCAACTTTTTCTTCATCAGTTGCTTTCTTCAACCTCCACAATTTTGCAGATTTTCTTCACTTTCTTCTGGGGAGTTTTCCCTTTCTCAGGACATTCTTGGGAGAGGTGTCCTTTGTTTCCACAACCAAAACATCTTCCTTCCTTGATGTGATGGTCTCTTTCT